TCTTTGAGATCTATTGATGACATAAAGCAATTTTCTGTGATAAGTTCGGATGTCGTGCGATAATCTTCCATTTTAAAATGTTTAGTCTCAATAAATTTATTTAGGCATTTTAAATTAAGAATAAACCTCTTGTCCCCGTTTGGTTTTGACACTAAAAATACAGAAGATAAAAACTCTCCAGGTTGGTGATTGCAATGAGATATAGCATCGATGTTCAATAGTTTTTGTATGCAATGATCAAAATCAATTTGATCTTGTTTAGTTTTAGGATAAACACAAGGGTTATCCGTTCGATAAGGGATAGATTTAAAGGGTATATTATATGCTTTGATTGAAGACAGAATTAATACATCATCAGTAATCTCAGACCATTTATCAAAAAAGTACTGAAGCCTGCCGGCATATTGTACCTGGTCAATTATCTCCGGGGATGAGCTGCTGTCCTCGATGTCGATGGGCGATCGCGGTCGTTGGGGTGACGCGCATTGGTGGTGTATGGTTGCTTCTGTGAGAAGTTGGTTGCTCGCCGATTGTTCACAGGTTTTGTGTCTGTCTTGCGATGTTGAGGCACGAAGTTTAAATGACCCTTATTCGTGCCTGTTGGTGGTACGTTTGGCCGCTGAAATCTCGGCTTAGGGGCATTTTTCAATGCTTCACCAGACTGTTGGATGGTTTTAGCGGTTTTCAGTTTTTCAGACACGTTTTCTCCGAACAAAAGCTTGTCTCGGCTAGAATCAATTAAAGGCTGCTTCATTTTTGCGTTAATTGAGGATATTACGAAACCTCTGCGAGTTTTCGTGTCCAAATAGTGACTATCACATAGTATGCGACATGCGTCACTAAGTGGCTTCAAAATCTTCTGCTTTGAAGTTTCGTTAGAAACCACCATATCTGTTACGGTCGCCAAGGCAGACAATGCAATACCTATCTGTTTTTGCTTATAGAACAGTGACGAATCTCTTTTCACGAGAGGTTCTGGTAAGGCGGCTTTTACTTCCGGGTTGAGAGCAGGAGGTAACAATAGATCACAATTAGTGGGCACTAAATAGGTCTTCATAAGTTTTTCCTTCAGGTCCTTATGAAGGCCATTTACAAGAATGTCTTGCCATCTGTGGGCAATATCTTTATGTACAGGCGGGCCGAGAGAAGTTTCCGGCTTAGGAGCGTCACCCAACAATTGAAGAACCTCATCATCAAGTTGCATTTCCTCGGTTTTGTTCTGATTGATATCAGACGTACCTGGTTGCGGATCAATAGGTGGTGTTTGTTGTAGCGATATTTAAAGGTTTTGGGGTCCTGGTGACGGTGGCCGGTACGAGAGTGACCGTGGTGAATGCAATACTAGTGACTGCGGCTGTAGTGAACATGGCTGCGCAGTAGGACACAGTGAGAGCCCCCGTTGCGATGATTCCACGAGTTGTTTTGTGCCCAGGTCGGTCTCGCAATAATACGGCAACAATTCTGTATAAGGCGTTTCCGGCGGGGAGTCTGTAATAAATATGATTCTTTTAGAATCATATCTCAAAAAACGTGACAGTAACAGCTCAAGCAAATGTAGCAGTACGCATCACTTTTTTATTTGACAGAGAATTCCCAAGTGCGGAAAGCTCGCATCAATTTTGTAAACACATGTGTTTATATGGAATCTCTTTTCTATCGAGAAAGTGACAGTAACAGCCCAGGTATAGCAGTACGCATCACTTTGTACATGAAAGAGGTAGCCCAGGTATGGCATCCTCGCATCAAGTTCTCGATCGAGATTAACACATTTATTACAATAAAAAACTACTTACTGTTAAAGTTTTCTAAAGAAGACTCCGAATTTCGATGTTCACTCGTCGTTTTCGCCAATTTAGCCTCCAATTTTTGAATTTTTCGGCGGAATTCTTCATCGGTTCTTTTTCTTTTCTTTCCCATGTTTGCAGTTCACTATCACTTCTTCGGGCGGACTAACTTTTAATGTTCAGGAGACGTGCGAAGGCTTGAGCACGGAAACACAGAATGATTCAAACACGACAGCGGACCGTTCAGGAAACTGAGTAGTGGGGGAAAGTGTTGCCTGGTTAAAAATGTTGCCAGCACAAAGCAAACAACACTACCTTAAATAAAAAACCTCTAAACATCCGTGCAAGGCTGATGCTAGGTAGCACTACTACAATATATAAATAATAAATCGCAAAGAATGAAGCTGCTATGCATAATAAGCATTATATTTCATAGGAATCTTTTATATTTTTAGTGAAAATAATTGTTAATATTTAAATAACTAAAATCGCGCGAAAAATGCTGCTCTATGTAATGGCGCAGATCGTGACGTCACTGGCCAGTAAATGTCAAATCGATAAGTCACAACTGTTTTAAGTGGTGCGTAGTGCGACAATGTACTTGTAGACGACAGCAACGTATGCCGCCTCCATTGTTAATTTATTTTTCTTTGAATTTTGTCATTTTTTTAAAATAACAACGGAGGCCGATAAAATTTATCTGTCTTCTTCTTCTTCTTCTTCTTACAACGGGCGTCTCCGCAACTCGACGACCAAATTGCGCCTATTTTGCGTGTGGAGGGTGTGTGGCCGGATACTACTCCAGCCAGCTCAGCTCTGCCAGGAACGCCCCGAGCGCCTTCACATCTGCGATGGCCTCTTGGAGGTTGCCCGGCGAGCCGAGGTACTTTGCCCGGTAGGTGGCCACTCCGTTGCATTCCAGCAGAACGTGAGTGGCTGTTTCTTCCGCCTCCATGCATCCTCTGCACAAGGGGCTGTCAGTGACACCTAGATTGAAAAGGTGCCTGTTAAAGTTGCCATGACCAGTAATAGCACCCGTTACCAGGCGCAAATATAGTTTACTTAGCTGTAGGAGGGCTTTGGAGAGGCGAGCGTTCACTCGGGGTAGTGCAAGTTTGGCTTGCCTGCAGGTTTCCAAAATGTGCCAGTATTGTTGATGTAGTTTACTCGAGTGTTCACGTATCCTACCAATTAACCAGCTTACCGGAATAGGAATGATCGGTTCCGGGCCCATTGGTGTTGCATCTGATCCTCTGCGTGCCAGTTCGTCAGCTGCATCATTTCCACGTGATCCACTGTGTCCTTTTATCCATTGGATAGTAATTATATTGTGTGTCCCTACCATGTTTAGAACCTGGTGACACTCCTGTAGAAGACTCGATCGGACAGAACTTCCTTTGAGAGCCTGTAGGACTGATTTACTATCCGAGAAGATCCGGATTTCTGATCCTGTTACCTTCCTTGTAGTTATCGCTCTCGCCGCCAGGGTGATCGCCATACATTCAGCCTGGAAGACTGTTTTGTATGGGTCGAGGGGCAGGAACAGATGTATGTTAAGGTCCTCAGAGAATACACCAGCCCCTGTGCCTATTAAGGTTTTGGAGCCGTCCGTGAAAACTGTGAGGGCCCTGTGTGTTACCTTTGGATCGTCACTGTCCGCAAGATGTATCTTGTATTTCTTGTCAAAGATGAAGGTGGATTCGATTCTGTCGCACACCGCCTCTACAAGCGGGGTGTTAAGCCATTCCTTCAGTACTGAAAAATAAAAAATGACTTAATTGGACCAAAATGTCACTTTCCACCAAAACAATAAAAAATATATAACAGACAAAAAATTAACATAATAATTCATTCGTCAATCTACTCATTATAAGCTTATTAAACTTATGTTAAAAAAACTATTTAGTTATAATTGCAAAATGTCAACTTGACAATTATATGGAAATTATTATAAAACACGATTGATATTATTGTAAAACTTTTAAGACATATATTTTGGTACTATAGTTCATAAAACTATGAAAAATTGGTTATATTAGAGGAAAAAGAAACATATTTATCGAGGTACAATCATATTATTAAATAATATAAATGTGAAAGTTTGTGAGGATGGATGTTGGTTACTCTCATGTAAAAACTACTGAACGGATTTTGATGAAATTTGGAATACGAATAATCTTTTACTCGTGGGAAGCGCCATCATACGCTGGTAACATAGGTTATATTTACTATACTGACGCAACGGAGTCGTAAGAACAAAGAACGCAAGAAATTTTAGATGTCCAACAAAATACGAGCAAAAGATTGCTTAATGATTTATAAATAATTGATAAATTCACGCCACTTTTAACAAAATATTATTTTCTTAAAACTGGCTTGAATTTATCAATTTAATTAATAATAATCATAAATAGGATTAGTACGTAAGTGTGAAATGAATAGAAGCGTAATAGGTAATAGTTTAGCCATGCGACTAACAATAAAAATTATATTACATTATTTAATAAGTAGTAGTATTGTAGCAGTTTCACGAAATACTAACTTTTATTTAATATGACTTCAATGTCGATACAAATATCGATATCATGGGTCGCGCCCTATGAAAGTCCGCCATCGAAGAATTTGCATTTGAAGTTTAGGCATATACGCTTTTTTCGTAGGTATGGCCGGTCCTCTTCTTTTATGTCTATGGTAAATTACTATAAAGTACTCGATACTTACAGGCATCGATATTTTATGTAGCTTTCTATCACTACTTTGACATGATAGCTGATGACGTCACAGACCAGTAAACAGAATCGTGATTGGTTGTGACGACGACCAATTATAAGACGTTTTCGTCGTTGAATAAATTCCTAAAAATATTGCATTTTCTTTACGTTATTTCACTAAATCTTAACATGTTTTTTCTGCGGATGTTAAGAAATAAGCTGTATTAGATTATTATCTATCAAGATGACTACAAAATGCAGCTTATTTTCGATAGTGTAAAATACCCTATTGTTTTTCTTTATTTCTTAACATTTTTGTGATTTTTATTGAAGAAAGTTATAACACGATATTCTAGTTTGTCTCGACTAGAATTTGACTCTAGTTTGAATCACATCCCTAACTAACTGTCATTGTCATTTGAACGACTAAAAATAAAAACATTAACTTGTTTGTTTTTATTTTATTAGCATAATATTCGCTTTAAAAAGCTAAAATAGTATTAAAATGTCGGCATTTAAAATCTTGAAAGATGTCAGTATAAGCTTCGAAGCTGATCTGCGAAAATTATCTAATGAACAGTTTTCGGTTAAAATCGGAGAGCCTTTCGAGGAAGTGCTTTCAAAGAAGCTTCGTGATGTGTCTTTATACAGATCTAAATTAAAGTTTCTACGAGCAAAACTCAATGCAAGTAAGTATGAAGTATACTAATTAACTTCCAACATACAGTAAAAGTAAACTTCACTTACTCTTTTTGTACTTTAGGTCTAATTAAAGGAGAATAATCTTTAAACAATCAAATTATGGTTTTTCTGATACAGAAAATTATCTAAAATAGACCTACAAAACAAACAAAAAGTATTTTATTTATATTTTCATTTCACTTTTTGTTCAATGTAATTTTTGTTTATTATAATTTAATTTTGTATTTAATAAAAAATTTGCCAGTAACTATGGATAATTATCAGATATTTATTTGACAATTATAATGAACTTATATAAAAAATAATTATCTTGATTACGCTACCCTGAATAATATTATAGCGAGATAAAGTTTCTATCTTTGTTCGTTTTGTCGGAGAAATCTTTGGAAATACTGATCGAATCATGAAAATTCTTCCACCTATCGGGGAGCTACACCTAAACATGGTGTTTTATTACAATTTTGAAGATAAATAATAATTATTTAATATTAGCAAGTTATTAAGAAAATTGACCCACCCCTTGATATATATTTTTGAATTTGCAGATACTCCTGAAGTACCTGAACAAGAACAGAATGAAAAGAACACTTTACAGAATTACAACGATGCTGTCACCGCAAAGGTTTTGGAACAACAGATCGTCAAGTTTCTTTGTCAGTCTCATTCTGTGAAGTCTATTATCACGACACCCGACAGTAATCTTGATCCGGAATTCGTTGAAAGGAAACGGTAAGTACTACTAAAAATACTCTAGTATGTTCACTGATCAGAGCGTCTTTTTGCTTGTGCACAAACATATGGCTTATTTTGCTACAGTATAGCGAACCTAAAATGTTAACAATATTAGATCAGTAGCAATGTGTGAAATCCTCTTTATTCAGTCCAACAATTCAGTCTTACATGGTGTATCTCGATGGTTATAAAATGACATTATAGAAAAAGTCATGACCTTTCACAATTCAGGCAACTGCTCTAAACTAAGCATAAGATAGATAGATAGATAAATAATTTATTTCTTGCCAAAATACACACACACCCACACACATTACATTGCATTCATAATATAATATAATAAGCCTTTATTCAAAGAACCATTAAGTTTACATGTCAAATATACTTATAATAAATACAATTTCATTCTTAAATTACACAATTATCTTGTTTAGTCAGATTATTTAGGCCTATGCTAATAGGCAAACATTTCATTCAACAGAAAAATAAATAATTAAGTATCTAGATGAGACAAATGAACATTGTATATATTTATATTAGTTTTGATATCATGATTATAATAATGTGTTTATGTAATCCATTATATTATGTATGTATTATTATTTAATATTTTGTAATTTGTAAGTATTTATTTGTATATTGTATTGTATATCATATTGTAGGTAATAAAGATTCTTTTAGACGCCATAGCCTACCCAATTATAATTTATTTTTTCCTTATTGTAATGGTTGCCTGGAAGAGATTGCGTCTAAGCGATAAGGCCGCCGATTGTACTTATTGTTAACTTATAACTGTAAATTTTCTGACTGTATGGTGTTTGTACAATAAAGAATATTTCATTCATTCATTTCATTCATTCATTGGAAAAAAAAACTGTTGAATTAATTAAAAAACATAAATGTTGAATTCATTAATCACTTGTTACTGTCCTTATTATACTTTAAAATTGAATTTGAGTTCAAAAATGTACTATAGCTGGTGTAAGACAATCAATATGGATTGTGATCTCATTCAAGTTGCAGATTGATGTTAAAAATTAAATAATCTGAATAATATGTGATCCATATGAATCCAGCATTAATTAATACATTACAAAATCAGTGCGATAAAGACCACAGACTGATTTGAGGCCAGAACAATTGTCTAATCGCTGAATAAAAATGTTAACAGTAATATAACATACCGTTACTCAATTGATATATGATATTTGTCACAAAAATATAAAATAAAGGTGCTGATTTTAACTTCAATGCTGCATAAGTTTTAGTTAATTGTAACACTCTTCCTTACCAACAAGCAATGTATAAAGATACGTGTATAATTCGTGTGTTGATATTTGTTATAGAAAAATCATTGAAAGTCTCACTGAATATTGCAACCAGGAATCTCTGTTACGTCAGCTCGATTGCGTTTTGTTGGAAAAGGAGAAAGAATTGGATAGGGTTAGAGAGGAATGGGATAAAGAACTCGGAGAGTTAAAAGACATGAGAGACAGTGTGGATGGTACAACAGAAATGGAGCCGGGGCCTATGTATAAGTAAGTTTGTTTCATATAAGACACATTGAATATATAGTTTTCTCTGTCTCTTTCTGAGAGAAAGGAGATCAAGGAAGAGAGATGGAGAGAAAAAGTGTGACTTCTTACAGGCAACCTTTGGATGGAGAAAGAGATAGTCATTATAACGGAGACGGGGGTGTACATGTGAACAAAAATATACAATTTATACAATAGTTAATATTTGCGGAATAGGCCTGCTGAAACGTTAACTTCGATTCCCTGTCGTCATCGGTGAACTGAAGTTATTGTATTGTGATTTTAGGAAACTTCGCACTTTAGTCGACAAGATGGAGCTCATGAGGTGGTTGATCTCGAAGTTGGTGACGTCACGGACTGGCGACCGATACGATTGGCTGACGGACCCTCACAACAGGCGGCGAGCACTGAAAGTGGCTAGAGAAGACAATACCATGGAGAAGTTTTTGGAGAGCTAATGTTACTTTCTATGTTGTTATAGTTGCCTGGTACTTTTTTATGTTGAAGTGATAATTTTATTTTTAAGGAATTATTAATAAAAAAAGTATTTTAAATAAAATGTGGAGTTATTTTTCCTTTCGGCTCCTTTATTTGAAAGCTTCAGAATTACACGTATAATTTTTTTTTAGCATTTTCCATCTTTCAGCATAGGCAAAGATACAAAAGTAAAAAAGTATACAATATATATATATATTTTATAGGTCAAGAGATAAATTAGGGCATTATTCGTCAGGGGTCAATAATATGAATTCAAGAAATAAGTCTTTGATAATCATTAATAATTAATTTATTGTAAAAAATCTTACATCTAAAATTAGACATTTACATAATGGGGATGATTTCTGGTCAAAAAAGAGTCTATTTAGTCTGTCATTCAAATAATGGAAAATATTAGATACGTATTTTCTTTTGCTTGGCTTAGATAATAGCCATTAAAGCTGAGGAGTGCGGGCTCGCTACGTCACAACTATGTAGAAAAAGTGTGCACTATATTGAAAATGTCTGAATGGTGCGACTTCATTGTAATTTATTGATTACTCAAAAAAATAGGTACGTGTTTAATATTCTCCAATAATATATAAAAAAAATATCACCCATTTTATGTGGAATATGCACAATACTTAAAAAAAAATGCAAATTATATACACATTAAACCTTTTCAAATCAACTAATGAATTAAACTAGAATTCATATATTTAATTGAAAAATTCAATCCACGAATCTCCTTTTCAATCCGTTAATCTCTTACTCAATCCATTACTCTCCTGGCCATACGACACTTTCGATCCAGTCTACGTAACTGGAAACTCTCGTGTAAACAGCAGGCATGCCGCTCTCAGCGCACTTTCTGCCGAAAGATGTGATCCCTATTATGTGGAATATGCACTGGTTGTCTTTTGAAGTCACTTGGAGAGGCGATCCAGAATCTCCCTAGGAAAAAAATAATGTATAAGTATTTAGGGGCCTAATTCTCTAATTTAGAAACTTATTGCAATCCCTTTTAGTTTGACATTTGAAAGCCATTCACGAACTTCACGCTACAAATATTTGTCATGTTTTAACTAAGTTTTTATTATGTTTCTTGAACATTCAATTATAATCACCATTCGTTCCAAAATTGCGACTTTTAAAGTTAGATTTTGGAATGAAGAAGTATTAAAAAAAAAGAAAGCACTAAAAAGTATCTCCACTAGATGGTGGCTCTAGCAAAAGTTGATTTTTGCAGGAAACGAATGGACCAAATATAGTAATTTCCGTTCCTTTTAACTATAAAAAAACTGAAATTTGCAGAGTTTGAAACTTAGATATCAATACAAATACGAAAAAGTACAAATAGAATATGAGTTGTTTATTGAGTTTTGAAAACTATTTACTTTTATATATGAAAGAAAGTCGGAAGGGTAGTGGAAAGTGACATCTAGTTTGATTTCGGGAACTATTTTTTTTTAATACTTCCTCATGAGAAAATTAAGCCACATGGTCTAATTTTGTTTCCGCTAGATGGCGCTAGGGAGGTTGGAGGTTATCCGTCGAATAGTCGCCGTCATTTATAAAAAAACATAGGTGAATTTAAATTATGTAGGTAATCTTATATACAAAATTGGTGATATAGTATTATTGTTGGAACATAAAACAAAAAAGTTCTTTAGACATAGATTTGCTTAAATTATAGCCTATGTTAACCATGTATGGTTATTATTTGTGTATAGTATGGTAATTTAAAAAATGGTCAAGTAGCTTCGGAGCTCAATCAATAGTAAAAAGTCAAAATTATCTTTATTCAAATACACTTATTAGGTACTTTTGAATTATCTAAAATTTATTAGTTCAGGGCGTCTTTTTTCCTTACTATTACAATCGTTCAGGGCGTCTTGGCTGTTAAGAACGAGCAAAAAACTCACCAGCTCTAACGGGAGTAACGACATTAAAAAAAAACATGTCATTACCAGATCAATACATTATAAAAACATTTAATGATAACATAATAATAGCCACGACATAATTTTGAGATATAATAAGTTTAGAAACAAATCAATCATCTTAAGTCCAAGCATTCTTATCTGTCAATTCAAACAAACAGACAAGTATTTCCTCTTTATTATATTACGCCTTTTGTTAGTAATAAATACTTACTAGGTAGCTCGGTAGTGTAGTGGACAAGCGCCGCGGCCCGCGATTGTTGTCGTTAAGCAACTTTCCTTCCTCCGTGCTTCGGAAGGCACGTTAAGCCGTTGGTCCCGGCTGCATTTGCAGTCGTTAATACCCTCCAATCTGCATTGGTCCAGCGTGGAGGGTCATGGCCCATCCTCCTTAACCGTCCATAAGGAGGCCCTGAGCCGCTGCAGTGGGGACGTAAAAGGGCTGATGATGATGATGACTTACCTGGCATGTATCTTTCCCGCCTCTAAGTTCTCCCGCGCACATCTGTGACTGCTGGAACCCGCCCCAGTGCCTGTTCCGGCTGGACACCAGCAGCTGGTCGCATTGATTGTTGTCCAACAACGATAAAGATACCTTCTGAAGCTCTTTAGAGGTCTGCTTGGTCACTGTTTAGTGGATAGGAATAGTGTTATAGGATTAATAAGATTTCGATTATGTCTTCTTAATATAAAACGAATAGATTTAATCACAATGTTGTGACAGTGATTTATGGAACGACTTCCTCGTTCCGTTCGTATTTAAAAAAAAGAAAGCACTAAAAAGCATCTCCACTAGATGGCGCCTCCAGCAAAAGTTAGTTATGTGGAAGAATTTTTAAATTGATGCAGTGGTTTCGTTCCTATTTGATGCAAACAAACAATCAAATTCTTCTTATTGTTAGACTACAATACTCTTTATCGAATACTATGGACATCAATCGTTATCAATTTTATTAGTGGAAGCACTATCTGTATCTGTCAGTGGGTTGTCACTGTCACCTTTGAAGTTGACATTGACGGATGATGAGATGATTTTAGGCGGGAATAGAATACTAAAAATTATCGTGAAAAGTTTATGTACAAGAAAACAGTTTTATAAAATATATATGATAAATCAGTCAAAGTGTGTTTGAATACTATTTATATATTAGTATTGATTACCTGCATCGGTGACACCCCATCCAGTTGCCAACGCTTTCTTGTGACCTCCCAAGTCGCTTCTACTCCAGAGACAGGCAGGTCTGATTGTAGCTAAAACAAAGAAAAAAACGTCTAAAACCTTATGTTGTTTTAAGCTTAAATGGTCTTTAATATTAGAATGATTGCTAAAAACGGGAATTATTACCATGAAGGTCCATCTTTTAAATTTTTTTATAGAGAATGCGATCGCGACATTCTTTTGAAAGAAATTGAATGAACGATAACGTTTATTTGACGTTAATCGATACTGTCTAAGCAAAGTTACAAATATCTTTGAAAGTTATTGGGAAATGTTAAACGAAATGAACTGTATGTGACATTATGTATATCATTCAAATCATCATTCGTTGTTAAAGCGATTGTGAAAATTTACACAATTCGAATAGGATTCGATCGAATAGGATTCTGATATTAAAACCAAAATTCGATCTCAGATGCGATCAGCATTGTTGCCACAGCACTACAGGGGGCCAATTCTACTAAATAAATTTTGTTTAAATCGAATCGAAAACGGATCGAAACCGAACGAAAGTACAGTTTTTAATGGTTTTTCTATTCTACTAACACCCAGTTGCACAAACGCCCATTAAAATGTTCATAAGTTTAAAGCGACGTTACCCATACAAATTTGACATTCATTAGAGCTTAAAGACGTCATTAAACCTTAATGGACGTTTGTGAAACTGACCGTAAGTGACATACGATACAATTACGATGCTTTATTAGCAGACATGGTCGAGCGCGGCGGCCGGCAGCGACGGCAAACCACTACTTACCATTACGCACTGTCGAGTGTTGATTACGGTTGATGCGCTCGGCCCTGAGAATATTGTTTTACCCTCAGCTGAAGCTGAGTATTTTATTTTATGTGGATAACTAATATTGACTTTCTAAGTAAATGCTAGGATTAAGTATTGTATTGTAATTCGAGGTTGTTGTTATCCCAAATAAATTAAAATTAAATAAAAAATAAATATTTAAGGGGCTCCCATATATGGGCGTCGCCAGCCGATGGCCGAGGGTGGGGGAAGGGGGAAAATTGATTATTGAGAATGAGCTAAGTATGAATTGTAGCTAAAGTCGAGAGCATATAAAGCTTTTTACTTGTACAGAGTCCAACTAGTATTGTTACTTTGCTTGCTTAATATTAAGCTGCAGCAGCTGTTCTTCCTGCCCCTCCCCCCCCCCCCCCCCTCCTTGGCGGCCCTTGCTCATACACAAAAAAGGTTTTTTTAAGTTTTCTTTATGTTTTTCGTCGCGAGCAACATCTTTCATATTATAGTTTTCCTACCTGAGAACGTGACGTCTGATGCTAGTTCAAACAGGGCTATATCATTGTAACGTCTTGGAGGTTTGTAATCGGGATGAGACAGGGTACTCTTGATCGGGACCTGTTACCAGAATAAATTAATATTAGACGACACATATTGTTATTGTTACGGAGTGCAGCGGCGCGATGTTTCGTCTATTCGCTTCTAAATTAGATTATTTAATAGTTTAGGCTTAGGGAGTAGCTTGGTGGCGTAGTGGATAAGCGCCGCGGCCCGCGATCGCAGTCGTTAAGCAACTTTCGCAAGGGTCGGTTACGGGATGGGTGACCAAAAAATTATTATCTCGACCTACTCCGTGCTTCGGAAGGCACGTTAAGCCGTTGGTCCCGGCTGCATTTACAGTCGTTAATACCCTCCAATCCGCATTGGGCCAGCGTGGAGGGTCATGGCCCATCCTCTTTAACCATCCATAAGGAAGGCCTGAGCCCCTGTAGTGGGGACGTAAAAGGGCTGGTGATGATGTGATGTGATGAATAGTTTAGGTCACAGCTATGATACCCTGTGCGACGTCCGGAACAACTGGTAGGTAAAAAATGTTGTCCGATTCAAAAGTACACACAGCAGCGTCAGGTTACCACACTATGTCAAATTTCTGCATTTGTTTTTGAATTCTATAGTCAATTTGTTAAAGTTTACAATGAAGTGGAGAAGTATGATAGTTTTAGTTTAATTTGATATTTGCGTTTACACAATTCCACTAATGTCACGTTGGTGGCCTTTACACGTAGAGAATAACAAAAATATGACAATGTTGAATTTTGAGGTTATTAATTTTGAATAGACAGATATTTTGACTTTTTCTGTTTTCATCCAGATATACAACGTGTCCCAAATTTCAACGATAAGCGGGAGCCAAGAGGTAGACCTGCTCATGTGTACTTATGGAAAAATAAGAAAAAAAATATATCTTATTAATCTTTTTTATTATAAAATTAAATTCGAAAATCTTCGAAAATTTACACCTTTTATGATATTTTCAACTACCACGACCACAACTTCTCAATTATGTTCAATCTTTTTTTGGTATCGGATACCTAAGTAGCACTACTATTCGCTACAACTCTTAAAAACTGCCCGCAGTTTTTACACAAAAAACAATGAAAATGTCCTTAAATTTTCACAGATTTTTACGTTCCGTAATCTTTGACTTACGGTCTTGTAAAAAAAAGTATGGACACCACTGTGGCAAGTTGTTTTTAAAATTGACTGAACTCATCAAGATTCCAAAATGGTATAATAATCTAAGATAACTAGTCACAGTAAAAAAATATGCACACCATTTGTAAACAAACGAACCAAATTATAAATATTCATTAGATATTTATTTATTAGGTAATGCTCTATTTCTGCTATTTTGAAAGTATTGTTTTTCATGCCACTTCGCCCTTTACTTGTGTCTATGTATACCAAATTACCAATTCTACCAGCTACCTGCACCCGAGCGGCTGCATCCCTTTATCGAAAACGAGTTCTGCGGCATTGTCACATTCCTTTGACGTAATTTGTTTTTCTAACTCAGTTCGCACGTTTGTAATGGCTCAACTTATAGTTGACTCAACAGATAGCGAGAAGGGTATGTTAGAGAGGGATAGATAGATATTTTTTGTAGAATAACAACAATGCAGGTACATAGAGAAATCCTGTTCTCAGCAAATCTGAAGTCGGATCAGTACATTCTGCTCCTTTGTTTACTGCGCACCTTGACGTGGCTCTCGTACTAACGACTTTTGGCTTTCTATTTTGGACTGGAATTAAGTGATCTGCAAACTGAACTAACCTGGCATTAATTTGGACTGTGATAGTGTTTTGTGAATTGGACTTTCGTCGTATTTTGGATTGTTTAGCGTTATCATGCCGCTACCATACACGCCGATGGAATACGCTAATATGCACCTCATTTATGGAGAATGTCGGTGCAATGCTAACGCTGATAGCAGATTGTATCGGGAACGCCCAAACGCCCAAAGATACCCAGATTACCGAGTATTTATGAATGTGCATCGAGCGTTCTCGGAGGGTCGTTTGCCATCAGCCAGAAGCAACGCTGGAAGACCTAGATCGGAATACGATGAAGAAGTTCTCAATGAAATAAACATTGACTCAACTACTTCAGTACGCGCCATAGAAGCAGCTACGGGAATCCCAAAAAGTACGGCTCATCGAATTTTAAAACGTCACAGGCTTCACCCATACCACTACAGACGTGTGCAAACATTGCCACCACGGGACTATCCACTACGGATCACATTTTGCCGTATTATGCTTCAAAAGCACCGGGAAGATCCTCAATTCTTGGACAAAGTACTATGGTCGGACGAAACAACATGCAAGAAAGATGGATATTTAAACCTCCACAACCTACACAGCTGGAGCAATGAAACCTAATGAGACAGGAAAAATCCCAATATCAGTTTAAGGTTAACCTATGGACGGGCATATTAAATGGAAAAGTGATCGGGCCTTTTGAACTACAAGGAAACTTGGATGGTGACAGTTATTTGAACTTTTTACAAAATGATTTGCCAGAATTGCTTGAAGACGTCCCCTTAAGAGATCTACAAAATATGTGGTTTCAAAATGATGGTTGCCCAGCTCACTACGCTCGTCCTGTGAGACAATACTTGGACCAAGAGTATTCCGGGCGTTGGATTGGGCGACTTGGTCCTATCTTATGGCCACCCCAATCGCCCGACCTAAACCCCCTGGACTTTTTCTATTGGGGTTGTCTCAAAGACAAAATCTATGAAAAACCCATTACGACATTGGACGAGCTTCGGCAAAAAATTAGTCAGGCTGCGTCAAATATCAATGCTAAAAGGTATGCACGAAAAATAAAACGCTCTTTTTTAAGGCGATGTCGTGCATGTATTAATGCCGGTGGAAAACAATTTGAACATTTACTGTAATGTTAATTATTAATAAATGAATGAGACTAAAACTCACTATTGTTTTATTTCAATATTTTTTTTAAATATTAAAACATTTCGGAACAGTACAATTTATTACTCACAACTTTGGTTCTTGATTCTAAATGGTATGATTTTTAGTTTGTTGCTAGTTATCATGAATATACCATTATGGAATCTTCATGAGCTGCGTCAATTTTAAAAATAACTTGCCGCAGTAGTGTCCATACTTTTTTTCTACATGACTGTGAGTCAAAAATTACGGAACGTAAAAATCTGTGAAAATTTAAGAAAAAAAATACATTTTGATTGTTTTTTGTGTAAATACTGTGGGCTTTTGGTGTTTTTAACAGTTGTAGCGAATATTAGTACTACTTAGGTATCAGATACCAAAAAAAGATTGAACATAATTGAGAAGTTGTGGTCGTGGTAGTTGAAAATATCATAAAAGGTGTAAATTTTCGAATTTTATTTTATAATAAAAAAGATTAATAAGATATAATTTTTTTCTTATTTTTCCATACGTACACATGAGCAGGTCTACCTCTTGGCGCCCGCTTATCGTTGAATTTTGGGACACGTTGTATGTATGTATAGTCCGACAAATCAGCCGATTTAAGTATTTCCGACTATAACATCTAACCAAAACGCAAAAAGATTTATGTACGATTGACAATATCATTATTTAAGGGTGTTTCTTCGTAAATTTTACTGCCGGTTTGATACATCCGTCATTATTATTCTTCAAAAAAATTGAATCTTGATTGATATTTTTTTAATTTATAAATCTATATAGATTCCAATTTTATAGCAGACTGATGTCACCAATAAAAAAATACATAAATCAGATTTAACTATTTTTGAAGAACAATATTGACAAAGCGGAAGTTCGTTGTACATTATACCTATGTACATTTTATAAACTTTTCATCACTTTGTTAAATGTTTAAAAGTAAGTGTATAAGCAGGCGATTCAATGTCGCATAAAATCGTTTAAAACAAAATAGGACCATCGAACTAATAGTTTTTGCTTTATATATTCGAAACCATTTGTGTTCAACAAACCTCAATAGGGTTGGCCCCGTCGACCACACTGGGGTCTATGTTCTGATCACCAAGCCTGACGATGGCGGGGGCGGGGTCCCTAGCACGCGGGTTTCTGGTGCAATGTCCCGCGCTGAGCACGTACTTGGTGCTGATGAGGGAACCGCCGCAGCTGAAGTCGTAGCCGCCCTCGAAGTTGGCCCAGCCGAGCGCGGCCTGTACCACAGAGTAGTTAGTTGTTATTCAAATTGGTGTTATACCGGTTTACTTGTACCACAGAGTAGTTAGTTGTCTTTATTTTAATTGATAGTGTAACAGTTTACTTGAAAAACTGTTTCTATAAGTAATCATTATGGTATGTTAAGGGTTAGTTAAGGTGGGAACGCAGCGAGGCACCTCCGTTATCTATACATACATATATAAGAATTTTTGTCCTGACTGACAGTAGACGCATAGCTAGAGCGGTTAGTGTAAGTTTTATTAACATTTACGTTCACCATCAATCGTGAGCTCGTTGAGATTTTAGAATCGAATCCGGTGCAGTGCTCTTAACGGTAACTTCCAAGAAATATAAATCTCCATACAAATTTTTAACGCACTCACTTATGAACGCGTTAACGTAAAACTTACACTTACCAGTTAGAACGCCCGCTCAAATTGAAACGTATTGCAATTGGTTTTAAAATTAGAAAATTAGGCTCCAGTTTAGGCTGAATTTTGTCTGTCAGTCAGTCATGTCAAGACAAAGATTCGCACTGAAAGTATCCTACTGCAGAACGCCAAATAACGAAAATACTTAGATTACATAATTATATCATCGAAATTCCCATATTTTACTGTGGTATTAATTTTGTTAACATTAACATATTATATATTACTAAAAACAGTAATATTAGACATTGGTGGATTGTCCAATGGCGTTATACTTCAATCATTCTGATTGGCCGACATTTGCTGTACACAGAAAACTAATCCTTTGCGGATACATCACTGAAATGCTATCAGTAGGGCAATTCCGTTAACATGAAAACCGAAGTATTTAAAAAAACAAAATCACTAAAAAAGATGGCTACTAGATGGCGACTCTAGCATAAGTAGATTTTTGCAGGAAACGAATGGACCGAAGAAGGTCCGTTCCGTTCCTTTTAACTAACATATTAAAAAACTGTAATTTGAAAAGTTCGAAACTTAGATATCAATACAAAAAAGTACAAATAGAATATGAGTTGTTTATTGAGTTTCGAAAACTAATTTACTTTTAAACATTGAAGTGAACCGGAAGGGTTGTCATGGAGAAATCAAGACCGTACCGTAGCGACATCTAATTTGATTTCGGGAACTAATGTTTTTTTTATACACTTCCTCATTCTGCTAACATGAAAGCCGTAATTATAAAACTCGATAGCGCTGTAACTACAACCATTTATATCACAGTTCTTGTTACTATCACAAAAATAATTAATATATCTGTCGCCGTTGATATATGAGAAAGACATTGCATTAATAATATTAGACTTCAAGTAGATAGTACAATGTTCAAATAGTTGAGATTAGCAGAATTGAGGTTTATCTTAGTGTAAATTACTTACCATATGTGGGAATTCTCCTTGGTTAGCGTTCTCGCCTCCTACGATCAGCTCGACGCCGGTATACTCACACTTGGCGGCTGATATCGACATGGTCTCTGGGTCTGGGAGCAGAGGTATGAAGTCCACTTTCTCGACAACACCCCTGCTGTATTCTTCACATTCTAAAACGAGTAAATTAATTAGTAGATTAATCACAAACAGCGGGGCAATTGTATAATTTTAAATGTATAAAAATTCCCTTCCAATTGGACATTTTCAGATATTAACGAACTTCACTCTACAACTATTTGTTGCGATTGTGAATGCAACGTTTCTTGATAGATATCGAATGAAGTTACTTTTATATTCATTAGAATTGCATAAGGCGAGCGTTAGACATTATTTGAAAGCTATTAAGAAATGTTAGACTGCAATCTTTCGATGGGTTGAACTAAGTTTTTATTATGGTTCTTGATCATTCATATCATCATTCGGTTCGAAAGCGATTGCGAAATTAGGCACAGCAGAATAAATTAATTTAAAACTAATTAGTTTATTCTGTCAAATTGCGTCTACAATATAAAATATAATATAAAATAAAAAGAATACAATCCAGAGCCTTTCCAAACCTTTCTTGGCTGTGGACTTTTACACAACCTTTTAAAATAAAATTGTCTTTAATATAAGAATTTAATCAAAAAGGTTTTTGATTAAAGTTTATTAAAGATTTTTTTCAAATCGCGTCATTCCTACGCCATGGGATGTTCTCGGGATGTCGTTAGGTTTCTAACATTCATTTCCGTTAAGTTTTTCAAAAGATAAGGTGGAAATGGAACACAAACATACATATTGTAATATCATTGGATAAATATATAAACCCTAGATACGATACGACACACCCTCTTTGGGCAGTCGTGTAATAAAAAAAACAACAAAATATTTGCATATCTTTAATTAAAAAACAAAATTTTATATACTTAGTGCGTATGTACATTATCTAAATAATTTTAGTAAGCACAGTCTATGATAATTTCTGTAGACGACATTTAAAGTGACGGATTAGTTCTCAAAATTAGACTAGATGTCGCTATGTACTTTGAAAAAGTTGTGATAAATCAAATTGTGTAATCCGATTTTCTTTTGATGTTATAAAGTAAATCGATATTCGAAATTTAATAAAATATTAATCGATCATTTTTATCTTTTCTTGTCTTTTTATTAACTAAGTATCGATTTTCTTTAGAGGCGATATAAGGCAGGGTTTCTAAAACTTTTGGCTAAAAGATTCCAGATGACAATAACCATTTAAATATTGGGGGCAAAGAAAATAATAGAATTGATTATTGAAGAAACCAATCAACCATTTTATTTAAATAAAATTTAAACAAATAAAGTGCCAAAGAAATATCTCTTTATAACTGTCGCAAATATAGTCAATTTTAGAAGTGTCAATTATAACCTCCATCGTCAAGTCACAGAATACAATATCGTGTTTAATTATTTAAAAGATGATTATGAACTATCAACTAAGCACCCAATTATCACATATTTTCTTATCTATATGGCTAAAATGTAATAAATTTTAACTCTATTTGAGTTGTACCTAAATTTTGTACTTAAAAACTGTTAAAAGTATAAATGCATGTATGAACCTTTTATATAATATGCTAAGATATGATATAATTGTTAATAATTATAAAATGGCACTACAAATTATTTCATTTACTTTAATAGAATTTAATAGACAAGTATAATAAACGGGACTATTACTTACAGTGCGTCTGTATGTCACCAGTTTGTATCTCAAAACCGTGATAGTTAGATAGATGAAATTTTCACAGCTAATGTATTTCTATTGCCGCTGTAACAACAAATACTTAAAAACAGAATATAATAAACTTTTTTAGTTTTTCATAGATTACCGAACCCAGGTTTTATTTGGTACATTTAAGATTGCAGTAATTTTTTATACGCACATATTTAATTTTAAAAGACAATTTAAACACGGACTTTCGGACACGGACGGAGATTTTCAAATCAATTAAATAGATACTAAATTACTAAGTAAGGCCTTAAGTAAAATATCAATTAAATAAATATTTGTTCTTCATCAAATAATTAATCATTATAGAGTATTATAATTGCGATAGTAATTATATAATTCTTACGAAATATAGACGATTAAATCGAATAATGGTATGAAGATCTGTTCCAAGTAAAACCTATTTTAAAGGTGATAAAGTTTTATTTCACTGAATCTCTAATCCATCGACACCGCTAAGTTCGTCGCTGTATTTTTACTGAATACCAAATTTAAGTTTCAAAGGAGAATAAAGATAAACTATTGTCCTTTCAAGAAGACGCCTCAAATAATAGCAAAAAAGAAACGAATGGCTATCAGTCATCTGCACAAACGTTCATTAGGGTTTAATGACGCCTTTAAACTCTAATTAATGATATAATTGTATGAGTAATGTCACTTTAAACTAAAGTTTTAATGGACGTTTGTATTTGCACAAACTGTAAATTTGATAAATTCCGCATTCACAATATTAACATTATATCATAGAACTAGAATAATGGCGGATTGTTTAATTGGTTAGTCGCTCGAATTGCGTAACATTATGAATTCGAATCTCTATCACGGACATCTATGATTGGTGTATATTTAACGCAAAATCACGGGTGTTATAAGTTTGTCTGTCTCTCTTCTAACAAAAAGGTGCCGTAATCTAGTATACTACAAATCAGGGAATTATATAGTATCTTAAGGCTAAACGGATGAGCACCCCACCACACACCTGATAAACATCTAAGGATATTCAAAAGGCGTTCACATTTGTTAGCTATATGCTCACAATGTTGAGCGCCTGATAACTTCGAATCTAAAATAACTCCTAAATACTTATAGCTTTTTAAGATTGGAATTGAATCATTATCGTACATTATCTGAACGGAGGGAATGATATGTTTCGGAGAAAATATTACCACAGCGCTTTTAGAGGCAGAAAGGCTTAAACCATTCTGATCTAACCATTGTTTGAGATCATTTCTATATCGAGATTGGTAGAATAAATTAGAAGATAATCAGCATACTGAAGAATTTTAATACGGTTTTCAAATATAGACTCTAAATCATGCGTGTATATATTGTACAGCAAAGGGCTTAACACAGAACCTTGTGGTAAGCCTTTCCAAACTGTTCTAGTCATATCATTATTATAATTGTATATAAGTTTCACTCTTATGTAAAAACATTTTCCCGTGCTACCTTTTTGATATTTAATATTACAACATTGACATTATTCTTATAATTTCTGACACAATAATATTATTATTAATAAATTACACTTGACATCTTTTATTTTCCGACATTTAACTATTTTTTATCTTTATTTAATATTAACTTTTGACATTATGTTTTCATATAAATATATTACCGATACCGTATATATAATCGAATATGAGTAATTTTTTGACACTATTTATAAATTTATTTCACTTAAAAAATGTTTTGTCCCTGCTCATCTCATACAGGGTGATGGGTGCAAATCGGTGCTTCATTTGCATTTGCACACAGGTGCATTTCTGTTTCTTGTCCTTCATTGTTTCTTTTTGTCGTGTAAATGTTTGGAATGTAAAAATGTGTATTGCGATTAGAAATAAACATTTTAACTATCTATCTATCTGTTTTATAATAATCAGCTCAGTCGTTTACTAGGTATGCGGGGAATATTGAGAATGAATCATCGAACATCCTGTTAATATTATAAATGTGAAAGTTTCTTTGTTTGTATGTTTGAAATTTTGTCCGTCAATCACGCCGAATGGATTTTGATGAAATTTAATATACAGATAAGGTATTAGCTGACTTAGAAAATAGGATACTTTTTATCCCACTAAACATTTCCCTAGGGAACACGCGGGCGAAGCCGCTGGCGAAAGTTAGTATTCAAATAAACTGAGTAAAGTGGGGTATAAAATGAATGGTTAAGACGTGTACATATTACAGCATATTAAAAACCAAACCAAGTTGAATAAATATAAATAAAATAAATGGGAAACTAAAAGAAAAACGGACAAGCCTTTAAAAAGTAAAAATAAAGAGCTATTTTTGAGGTTTTTTTATGAGATACGAGATCCATATTTAATATATCATAAGTTAAGCGTGTAATCATATTGATGTGTAAACTGCTATTCTAAAGAGGTTAGATTTGCTTGGTTTTTTTTTTTTGCATTATACCTACAGGCTCCGAAACTAACTGGACTTTCAAATTCTTTTTGAAAGAAAACCGGTCCAGTATTATATTCTTTCAAATACGGGATGCTACATCATACGAAGGTGACATCACTACATAGTATAAAACAGAGGTATTTCAGATTTTTTTCTCGTAGACCATTTTAAAAATTCACTGGTTTCGGTGGACCCCCTGGTGCTACATTTTTACCATATAAAATTCGTCCAAAATGTGAAGATCTAACGATGGAAATTGGCGTTGCGGGTGAGTTCCAACCCTAAATTCAACCTAATAAACCCCCCTTTATTCCTCGAGGACCCCTGGGGGGTCCACCCATACCACTTAGGGAATCACTGGTATAAAAAAAAGTCGTTTTCTCTGTCCCTAAATCCCTATGTATGCTTAAATCTTTAAAACTACTGCCAAAAATTTCGAGTTATAGCAAAACATTGTATGGTGGAATTGTACCTCTTTAATAGATCTACAAAAAAGTCCACGGTGGTATATATCCCAAGGATAACCCACAATAACTATTTTTTACGTATACTTAAAACAGTAAAATGATGGGTTATTTACGAACCTACTTTAATAATATAGTATTGTTCCTTATTCAAATAAATAAGTTAGATACGTTATGCATGTTATGTAGATCAAAATTGCCTTTTACACTATATAAAAAAAAAATAATAACTAATGAGTTATCAAAAAATAAAAATGTCCGGGCGAGCTATTAAATATCTATAAATAAAAATGAATCGCCGAAACGTATGTACGCGCATAACTTCAGAATTCCAGTTCCGACTGCACCAAATTGGATGATTCTATTTTTTATGTGTTCCACGATTCATGACACGGTTTGTATATAAGATTTTAAAAAAAGGGTAAAAGGCGCTACGAAGTTCGCCGGTTCAACTAGAAGGCTATAAATTCATAATGAAGTCGCGAGTAAGCAGCTGTTGGATAATAAGCAATAAACAATCAGCTCTAAAGAAATTTGCCTAGTTTACTGGGATGGATCGAGATTATTTACTGTTAATTTCAATTGAAGAATCGGTGTACTGTTGTTATCAGATTTTTTATTATCAGACGTGTCAGAACTTTCTACAGTTGATCGTAAAACACTCTTCGGTGTTGGTGTGATACATTCACAATCAGGTTTTGCTGTCGAATCTATATGTTGTCTGCTCAGAGTACCCATTTCGGCTTGGAAAAGAATATCATTGATAATCTTCTCCGCATATCTCCTTTGTTCGCTCAATAGCTTTTTAAGTTTCAAAGCCCAAACTTTCGTTATTAAATCCTCTTCGGATTGGTAATATTCAGGTAGGAGCTTTCCGTTTTCTTTGACATAGAAATCTCTGTCTTCGATTTGAGTCTCTTGTGATGTGTCACTTTGCTGCGTATGAGAGGTGTCATCGTTGGAGTAATCGTGGACGTATGGCTGAAAGAAATTACAACTGTGAAAGACATTATATTACAGAACAATTAAAATATAAAGAACTGTGTGATTGACGAATTTCTCAAGCTAACAGCGACAATGTTATATTAGTAAATACTTTTATGAACAGAGTAACAGTAACTCTTACGAATTAACATGACATCTAAGGGCCTACAAAATTTTTTCTCGAACAGAAACTCGTAAAACTTATTTAAATTATATTCGAGAAGATTATCTATGCATCAGAGATCAGAGGCAGTGTCCGCTGCTTATTTAACTATAGAAAAATGCGTTTGGATTGAGTCATACATATTAGCATTCCGAAAATCTATTATCGTCTACGGAATTTTGTTTTCGGAGAAATAGAAGTCATGTTAATTACACGAGTATCTAATAGTCTCGTTTCCAATGAGAGTTTTCAAGTATTAAAACAAAACATTAGTTCCCGAAATCAAACTAGATGTCACTACAGTGCTTTATTGATTTCCCCATGACAACTCTTCCGGTTTTCTTTCATGTATAAAAGTAAATTAGTTTTCAAAACTCAATAAACAATTCATATTCTATTTGTACTTTTTCGTATTTGTATTATTATCTAAGTTTAGAACTTTTAAAATCTCAGTTTTTTAATATGTTAGTTAACGGGAACGGATATGACTGCCTTTGGTCCATTCGTTTCCTGCAAAAATCAACTTTTGCTAGAGTCGCCATCTAGTGCACCTCACTAGTTAGTGCTTTCTTTTTTTTTAATACTTCCTCATTAGGGATTATTTGGAATTAATTTATTTCGTTCGTAATTAATCTTAAAAACCTTTACGTTTTATGTCGGTATCGACGATCTTTGTCTTACACAGGTTTATTTTTGACTCCCAGTTTGAGAATCGTTGCTCTATTATGTCAAATACAATATGAAAGTTGTTATTAGTTTGATACTTATTTAATTAATTACGTAACAGTAATTAATAAAGACATTTAAAATATTTTTACCTCTACTGGTGGTTTGTAAGTAGTGATTGGTATTTTATCATCTGAAAAGAAAAGAAATGTAAGTAATATAATAATGTATGACTAGTGGTTAAAAGCATTTTGAAATCTTAGAAACAAAATTTGTTCGCTAAAGTATTTTTCATCATAAAAAAGTTCATGACAGTTGTCGTTGCGTTGTCTTAGTTGGCCACGATCTTACAAGCGATGCGATTTCGTCGTGCGACGAGATGTTAATAGATTGTGAGTTTTTCACAAATCTCTTTAGGATGTGAGTGTCCTAATTGAAACTCATACCCGCGCGAATGTCTGAAATGCTTAATAACGATCGTACGACGTGTTGTTATTACGATTATATCAAAGCTAAAGATCTGGAGAGTCCATTAATGTGTCAAATGACAAGGGTTTCACTAATAACTGAATATCGTATTATAAAACGACAACCAAAATTAGTATATAGTTTAAATCATTGACCGCCTAAAGCAAATTGACTATGGCAGAAGAGAAAACGTCCAGTTATGACGCGTTGACTTACTTTAGTCGGATAATGGTTTAAAACTTGTATTTAAATAAGTCTTAGTTTTATAATAAGACGGTTAGAGTAGTCTTATATGGTCTAACCTCCGTATCTATAGTCGAGAGAAGTAATTACTTAAGAACATGTCACATGTCTTAAGCGGATGTTTTTATTAAATAAACAAGAAATTGAATGAAGTAATAACTGTTAATAGTTGATATACTACTATTACATGAGTATAATGTATAGTTTAAGTGATACCTTTTCGTGAAACAATATGTATGTAAGTGTTTTAACGTTACAAAAAATAAAAATAAAATTACTGTTAACAGTTCATACTTCATTCAAAGTCTCGTCTCTTTGTTATGACATTTTTTTCATTTAATTACTTCTCTCGACTATAGTTTACGAGTATGGTAAAGTGAGATGGGTATATATAGTATTAGGATACATAAAATAAATCGCACTATTGATCGCACGACGAAATCGCATCGTTTGCTCTACGATCTATAGCTAATTATAGGACGCCCCGTTAAACGGATAACATTAATTGACAAAATAATAATATAATATCGCTTACCAATTAAATTTATATCGTCGATGTTGTTTAAGTATTCCAGCACAAAAATTCGACACTGAATTTAAATAAAATGTAAACATTTTAGAACCACTTTGATTTTTATAAATTATAATAAAAAAATGGGGTAAATAAAACCGGAGAGCATTGTGCTCTCTTTTACACAATAGTTAAGTTAGGGCGTAAAGAGAAAACGAGACGAAATCGACGCGTCCGTTGATGGTATTGGATGGTATGAGTATATAGAAAGTGGATGGCGTATGGCTCGCTATTTCCTTTTATTATATTCATTCGCAAACGGTAACATCGTAAAAGTTCTATGTAAAACACTTCGCCTTGAATTCACATATTTATCAATTTTACCGATAAAAAAAAAGTGTAGCTAGAATTACGAGAAGAAATGAAACAAATGGTGATTTTAAAACGTAGGTTTGTGATTCATTCTATAAAGAAAAATATAAAAAAAACCCTGGAAAAGATGATGTAAATTTACAGATTATTTGAATGTTATTTTTTTACGAAAACCGATTAAAAACCTGTTATGGTTTACGGACCACATTTGTTTCTATATGAAAACAATTGAGTGTAAAAATATTTATTAGATATATAATCTTCTTGGAGTTCTTCGTCCATGGATTTATACATATAATAAATGGTAATATAATGGGTGGTCCAAACATAATACACCATGTTAATTGTGAGTCACACTTTGACGTTAAGTTTTTTCCCAACTGAATTTGGCATATCTTTGCTTGAGTGTTTGCCAAATTCAACCATAGATATGTACACAATTGAGCAGCGCTTTAAGATTTTGCACTTTGTGATTTTTTGGTCAGCATAATTGACCAAATATGTCCACAATCGGAAGAATTGTACTCTAAATAGTCGTAAATCTCGACCCGTCGTCATGCTCAAGAATTGAACATGATAACTGACTTCTTGTCGCTATAAATTAAGGATATGGACCTGGGGGCCAATTCTACTAAACAAATTTTGTTTAAATCGAACCGAAAAAGGATCGAAACCGAACGAAACTACAGTTTCCAGTTCTATTTTAGCTGGAATTGTGTCGTATGTCACTTAGTAGAATAGAAAAACCATTTACCAAACTGTTTTCGATTCGATTAAAATAAAATTTATTTAGTAGAATTGGCCCCCTGGACGATATCTAGTCCAACAAGATGGCGTCATTTGACACACAGTCAACGAAATAATGGTTCTTTTGCGTGAGAAATTTAATGGCCGTGTTATCTCACGTCGTGATTGACCGCCACGATCATATGATTTGACACCATTGGACTTCTTTCTTTAGGTATAATTAAAAGTGAACGTCAATAAGCCAAGAAAAATTCTAATGGATAAGATAATTCGGCAAATTAACAACATTGAACCTCGATTATATCTTAGAGTAGTTGATAAAATATGGACAATCGGATGCCACGGTAGCCCTGGCGAGAATTTGTCGATATTTTGTTTCACACATAATTGTCATATCCTCCTATCATAATAAAAAAATTAAGATAAAAACATCGTGTGTTTTGGTTGGACCACTCGTTATAATAAATGTTTATTAATTTTTGGTTAATATAATAAAAATGCGTTAAAAATTAAATATAATTTAACGGACTAGTATATATTTAATAGTATGATTTAATTCAATAATTCTTACTTCTTTCACTGACTCTTCTTTGATCCGTCTGTTTATTTGATGTACTACCCCATATTGGTCTGAAAAAAGATAACAGATATTTTGTATAATATTTATATGAATATAAATTTAATAAAATAAATAAACATATTAGATAATCAAATAATCTTTATAGATACATGGTAGATACGTGATTACTTAAAGATCGAACTAACAAACAATGCGATTTCGTCGTGCGATAGTATATTAGATTTTCTAATAAATCGCACGACACGACACACCATTCGCGTTGATCTAATCGCCCTTTCACCTATGACTTTAGACTATATTCAGTTATCAGAAGTGCAAAGGTCGGAATAATCATAATGTATAAGTACATATTTATTATTGTTCAAGAATGTCTTCATTCTATCGTCATTAAACTTGTGGCGACTGATACATAGCGACATCTAATTCATCGCAGTAACATCGCCACAACAATCGATAGCGAGAAGACTAGCATCGTCACAGCCATCGATAGCAAGACGAACTGCAATAAGTTTCTACAGCAAGTAACGAGATGGCGCTGTACCAATACAAGCAGCATAAATTAATAACTACAAGACATTTAGAACAAAGAAACCTTCATCGCACAGAATAAGTTTCATCACCAATTAACATAAATAGAACGTCCAACCTACATCGGTTGGACCGCGGTCCCCGGGCTAACTACACCTAGCTCGGAGGGAGACAATTATCCTTTAGTCTCCCTGACCAGTTGTCCCCATCACCACATCATGGACCCAACCTTCAACCACATGGTTCCTAAAGTGGTGACCCCAGCAGAACATCAGCAACCTTCAGCATCACAACGCAGCCATCACTCTTCATCAATAGCCTCTCACCCTCCATCATCAGCTTCTCAGCCCTCATCAGCACAGCTACTTCAGCAGCAAGCCAGCCAACACCAAGGTCCATCACAGCAGCATTGACGACGCTTCCTGGATACTTGGTACCACTCGACGGCATCATCCCGACCTGGTCCTCGCAGCCCACGACCGGACCTAAGTTCACACACAACTCACCGGCGTGGCAGCCCTGCACACCAGCAGCTTCGGTCCCGACGTCACAACCATGGCACTTGCAAGCTCTGAAGCACTGACTGCATACCACCTACTATCAACATGGATCGACCTTCGGTCTAGGGGGAAAGTACTGTGGCGACTGATACATAGCGACATCTAATTCATCGCAGTAACATCGCCACAACAATCGATAGCGAGAAGACTAGCATCGTCACAGCCATCGATAGCAAGACGAACTGCAATAAGTTTCTACAGCAAGTAACGAGATGGCGCTGTACCAATACAAGCAGCATAAATTAATAACTACAAGACATTTAGAACAAAGAAACCTTCATCGCACAGAATAAGTTTCATCACCAATTAACATAAATAGAACGTCCAACCTACATCGGTTGGACCGCGGTCCCCGGGCTAACAACACCTAGCTCGGAGGGAGACACTTATCCTTTAGTCTCCCTTGCCAGTTGTCTCCATCACCACATCATGGACCCAACCTTCAACCACATGGTTCCTAAAAACTCATTACATTATTAGGCATTTCTTGCGCTCGTACGATGGTGTGAGCTTCAAACAAAGAGATTTGTATTTAATCTTGTCGCACGAGCAAATCGCATCGCTTGCCTACGAGGTTCATAACCAGGGTTGGCAATGTTTAAAACATTTGTTTTAAACATACGTTTAAAACACTGATTAAAACACTACAAAAGTATGTATCACGTTTAAAACATGATTAAAACTAATTTGTTTTAAACATGTTGAAAACACATAAAAAAAAACTCTTTATACTTTTAATTACAAGAAATTAAAAACTCATTTTATGGTATGATTTTTACTAAAGAGTTGGCAACATCGATATTACTACATAGTTGGGATTCCCCTGACTGACAAGCGGTAATGCGGTGAATGTTTATAAAACGCGGGGATTTCCCGGTTTGCTTTTGTTCAGCTAGATAGAATGAAAGCCGAACGAAATCGATCAATTCATGTTTTGCATGTGTAATGTGGTGGACACGTACTTTTTTTGTTTACATAATTATTTTTGTTCGGCGTTATTAATAAACAATAACGGTGCGTGTATGTGTGGTGTGTTATTTGGTAAAAAAATATGATAACAGGGCGGAAGAAAGACTCGCTTTGGCGGAACTTTATAGAAATTCCAGCCTCTTCGAGTTCTACCACTGGAGTTGGCGGAAAGACTCTCAGGGCGCAATGCAAGCATTGCAGAACAAACATAGTGGGCCTGATTGCTCGTATGAGAACACATTTGGAAAAGTGTTCAGATTATGCATCTAAAAATTCGAGTGCATCAACCTCTTCGAGAATACAAATCTGTGAAAATGATTCAAGTGATGATGGTAAGAAAAGAAACTAAATAAATGTATATCTATCCATTGAATATTTGTCAAATTTATTAGCTTTAAAGCCGCAATGACACCAGCACATTTCGCTGCTTATATATTAGACCCCAATTATAATGGAGATGGTCTATCAGAAGAGGAGGACACAATAGGCATGGAGTTTTTAGATTCAAGCTGTCCGAATGCCATGAAAGATGTCCTGGCGTACCGTGCGAGGAGTTATCCTTTTTTGGAGTACATGTTTAAAAAAGACCTTTTAATAAAAACGCATGTGTCTGTGTGGTGGAAATCAGTGAGTACTAAAGTGGATCCAGGGATGCTCGACATTACGAGTCAGTTATTTACTGCAACTGCTTCCTCCGCAGGAATTGAAAGGTTATTCTCGTCATTCGGACTGGTACATTCAAAATTAAGAAACAAGCTCGGCACTGAGAAAGCTGCTAAATTGGTTGCAATTATGAGGGCTCTTAACCAATATGGTTCGCTCGAGAAACTTCAGATCATGGAAGTTGAGGGTTGAGTTGAAGATAAGAGATGGGAAGTTGATTGAACTTGATTGCATTTTAATGTAACTGATGTTTTAAATAAATAATAATTATAATTTTAATAAATAAATACTTTTTTATCTTTCTTTTTTTTCATTTTATACATATGTACGTGTTTAAAACATGATTAAAACATGTTTAAAACAAGGCAATTAAAACAGCAATGAAGCATTAATAAAAAACATGTTTTTTTTGTTTTTCAAATAAAACATGATGTTTTTTTCTTTAAAAAAAAAACATGTTTTTTTTCCAACCCTGTTCATAACATGGGACAAGGCAGGCAAACTATAGAGTATTTATAATTATAGCTTACCTAATAGGTTTTGGGTCGGCAGTCTGCAGTATATTAGTGCCGTCTCTACAGCACACTAGTGTTGTCCCAAACGCACTGTAAGTGCAGAATGTGGGTCTGATGCCGTTTTGTCTGAAAAAAAAAACTGTTATTAAAGACTTTACTTCATAAACTTTTTTCAAGTAGCACGTCGAAAGATTGCAGTAGGCATTCAACTCTTGTTTGGTTTTTCCCAATAGCCTACAAACATTTATCGATTTGCTTAGACAATTCCAATAAACAATAAAGTTAATACAATGTCTATCTTGCAGAAAACGTCACGATTACAATCGCCATCACATGTTAAATAGTTTTAAAGTGGCGGACTGACCATATCGGAGGCCCGGAGCGACAACTTTTCCAACCGAGGCAGAAACTTTTTCAAATTCAAATTCAAATTCATTTATTCGGCGCATGCACATAGGACACTAAAATATAATAATTTATCACATAAATACATATTACAATAAACATTAGATTAAACGTACAATTACAAGCAATAAGACATTTAACATTATTCAACATTTAAATAATAAAATAAATAATATTGTGTCCCACGACTGCACCAAATAGGTATCTAGCTCGGCATTTGTTTTGCTATTGCTTGATATTGCTTTTCCCAAATTATTATATAATTATAAAATTTGTGGATGATAGCTATTTGGAGGCCCCCATGGCTGGAGGGCCGGGGCGGACCAACCCCCTCCGCCCCCTTAGTCCGCCCCTGGATTTCCTAGTTCGTGAATATCTTTCAAATGTCAAATTGAAACAAATTGCGATGGATTGTTAAATTAGACCCATGGTATGCTACCGTGCGTTTACCGGACGATATTCTAACCGAATGAAATCAATAGAAAAAATATATAATTATATATATTTTATGGATATCTCTAATGAATATTTTTTAAATTTTACTTAATAAAATCAATATAGGGACGTTTATTAAAAAGTAAAACAACAACATAAAAATGAATGCCATAGATAGAACCTTTTTGGCTAATTTATAATTTATTATAGATAATATTACGTGTTAGTATAGTATACTGTTTATAAAAGAAATAAATCGCCAGTTCTATCTATAAATATAAGTTCAATGTTTTCCTTATGTAAAATAACATTTTTATTAGATCTATTAAGTATTTATACTCATAACGCACCAAACAGGTTGTGTTATTTATTATAAATTCGTTCCATTCCATTGTAAACGATTGTAACCTCTTTTCTGTTCTATGACTGGTAACATTGATATTTTTATGGGTATGTTCCGATATACACTGCGAGCACTGCGCCGTGGTCTTACTGCTGAAAAATCCGTTCCGTTATGGACTGCCAGTACACTGCTACAGTACCCTAGGGAAATTTATGACGTCATAAATTGCCGCCATATTTGTACTGTGAGCACTGGAGATTTCGAGGTAAGGTGCTCGCAGTGCTTTTGATCACGTGATCAGTCGAAACAGAATCAGAAAATGATAAGTTTCTAAATAAACAAAAAAAAAATACTTACGTTTATTATAAGATGGATTTAATTGATAAATAATTTTTTTATACACAATTTTATAATATTTTCTTTTGAAAAGAGGGAATCTATATTTATATTTACCTTGCATTAACAAATTTGAAAATGGCGCCAAAAAATAGGATTAACAGTATACTGGACTGCGTTCCGTTTTAAAAAGTCACCAGTATAACTAGCTATAAAGGAACGGGCTTCCAGTAAACTAAATTGACGTCATACTGTTCAGTGGTCGCAGTGTATATCGGAACATACCCTATATGTTATTGTGTGTATATATTCTTGTCTATTATTTAAATTAAGTAAAAAAAAAACTATAAATATCATTAGCTGGATTAACATAATATTTATTTATGACAAAATTAGCTGCATTTCCGCGTCTTCGCACACGTAAATTATGTCATCCACACATGACGTAGCGTCCTGTAGGTAATTTTTTTTATCGGTTTCGTTATTTAGATGGTTATTCAATGCAAACAAAGAAACAATAAAATTTTTCCTTTGTATTAATATAAGTAAAGATAATATTCGTAACAAAATAATCGGACTTAAGGTTTTGAATAACATTCTTTTAGTTAACAGGTAAAAAGGAAAAAAAGAGTAATGGCATAAAAACAGTACCTACAATTTGAATTCTACATATATAAAATTTTTGAGTTACTAAGTGACTGACTGACTGACATACAAGGTACAACCGAAAGTACTGAGCGTAGAAAGTTGAAATTTGGGATGAAGATTCCTTAGGGAGTATAGAGGAGCACTAAGAGAGGATTTTTGAAAATTTCAACCCGAAGGGGCAAATTAGGGCATGAAAGTTTGTACTACAAGTGTTAGGAGTTTCAAAATTTGCATTGGGTTTCTTTATAGGACGTAGGTGTTTTCTAAGACGAGATTTTACGAAATTCGCAAAAGTGGTAGTCTTGGAGTCCATGTATTATTAAATTAAGGCATAAGACGATTGTACACCCAACAGCACGTCAAGTTAACACAACATGTCAAAGTTTTGAACTCTATCTTCAATGGATTAAGGTTTTCAAATCCATGTAATTTCACATGTTTGTACGACTTGACGTGTTGTTATCTGGGCGTCATGTTAGATCACTCACTGGAAATCCCTCCTCGCTGAGTCACAAGTCTCAGCTGCTGTACATCGGCCAATCGTGTTTGTGAATTGATCGACGCAGCTGTCGCCCACTGTAATGAAAAATACATAATAATAATTCTCTGGTAGTAGCTCGGTGGCGTAGTGGATAAGCGCCGCGGCCCGCGATCGTTGTCGTTAAGCAACTTTCGCATAGGTCGTTCACGGGATGGGTGACCGAAAAAAAAATAATAATAATCTCGAGCTACTCCGTGCTTCGGAAGGCACGTTAAGCCGTTGGTCCCGGCTGCGTTTGCAGTCGTTAATACCCTCCAATCAGCATTGGGCCAGCGTGGAGGGTCAAGGCCCATCCTCCTTAACCATCCATAAGGAAGGCCTGAGCCCTGCAGAGGGGACGTAAAAGCTGGTGATGATGATGAATTCTCTGGTCGGCGGTGTAAAAGTGTTATGTCAAAATGACTTATGCCAATAGAAACATGTAGAAAAAGATTAGCTTTCGAATGGTACAATTGGCATAAGTCTACTAACTATACTTGGTATAAGTATATTAATAGAGATATTTGAAATTCTATTCATTTCCAGTCTTTCTGTGGAAATGTTTGAAACCTTCTTTTTGCACTCTTGAAAATTTATGATTTTGACTTATAACCTTTTTACCGCTGACCAAAGAATTATCATTAGAAGTAAAACAAGTTAAAAAATTATAAGATTATTAAAACATGATTCTATTTGGTGTATTGTATTCTACAAGTTAACCTCAGACCTCTCATTTGATACCCTTATTCTGGTTACTCAAAAATATGTAGGCCGCCATTTTGTTACTAATAAATTATGATAATGATATATTAATTTTGATTTGTCTGCCAGTCAGATACATTATTGAAGAATATTAAATACGTGCTTTTTGCGTAATCAATAAATTTCTACGACACATTGAATTGAAATGTCGTATGACGTCACACCTTCGTACATTTTTTACACAGCTGTGATTGTGACGTAGTGAGCCCCACTATTTCTTGTTAAATTGTACAAAAATAATTCGAAACCAATATTTTTCTATCGTCGAACTGACGCACTTAATATGACTAAGAATTCGTTGTCCATCCGTTCGTCTTTTACCAGGCTTGTATCTTATGAACCGTGATAGATGAACAATAATTTTTTTACACATTACGTATTTCTGTTGCCGCTTCGACAACAAATACTAAAAATCTTATAAAATAAATATTTACGGGGGCTCCCATAACGTGATTTTTATAGATAATGCTTCGGAATCTTTCGTGTGAGATACCCTTTATCTGTACACCAAATTTCATTAAAAACTAAACAGCAGTTCTTGCTTGAAAGAGTAACAATAAATTTCGCATTTATAATACTAGCTTTCCGGCTCTCGTCCCTATAGTTTAATGGGATATACTTAAAATAAAAGGGATATAATAATATAAATATTCTTCTTTCTTACCTTTCGTCTGTGATTTAACATAAACAATGAACATAAGAAAAATTTGCCATTTCGTTTTACAAAACGTCATTTTTAATGAAGGCAGGTGATATCACGATTCGAATCTGAAACAAAGAGAAATAAAAAGAATCAGTCAAAAAATATTGTGTATTTCCCACGTCGTTTCTTAGAATAAGAACCCCTGGGGGCGACACGCTTTAGTTTGAGAAACGCTGCCGTAAACCAAAGACATGTTAGAGCATAGACAATAGAGCCGTAAAATTAGCAGACAATGCGTTTGGACTTTTAAAATTATCATTAGATTGCAAAAAAAAATACAAAAAACCTGTTTATTAGAATAGAATCTGGACGATTAGTCTGTCAACATATGTAATTGCTGGTCGTAAATATCAAAGGTAAAGGATAAAAAACGTATTCTAATTTGTGATTTGGCATTGTAGATTTGTTTTGTTGCTTCAATATTATTACGAATGGGTTTAACCGCCCTGCCATGTGTCATCAATATTTAATAGAGCGCATAAACTATTGCTCGGTGGCGTAGTGGATAAGCGCCGCGGCCCGCGATCGTAGTCGTTAAGCAACTTTCGCAAGGGTCGGTCACGGGATGGGTGACCAAAAAATTATTATCTCGAGCTACTCCGCTCCCCGGAAGGCACGTTAAGCCGTTGGTCCCGGCTGCATTTGCAGTCGTTGATACCCTCGAATCCGCATTGGGCCAGCGTTGAGGGTCATGGCCCATCCTCCTTATCCATCCATAAGGAAGGCCTGAGCCCCTGCAGTGGGGACGTAAAAGGGCTGGTGATGGTGATGATGATAAACTATTATTTTTAAAAGACTTCTAAATCGAAAATTGTTTTAAAAGACTTCTAATTCGAAAAAGAGACAGAGGTGTATTCAATGGCCATGTATGTTTTTTTTTTTAATGTATGTTCATCGATTTTCCGTGACTAATTTCAAAATTCTTTTGTATTCAGCAGCCCGATAAATTTTATTGAAATCGAAAGTTTTGTTATTATAACATAAGAAAATACGTTTTTCTCCAAATAACACTGAATATATCAGACAATATGTTTATAACAGCGAAAAAGCAAAACATGCGTATTTTGCATTTATTTAAAATTTTAAAAGAGGATTTTCTATGTTCAATGGGTAATAAAATATACATTTTTCATGTTAGTTACCTATATTATATATTGTTATATTCGACTAGATTTTGCCCGCGACTTCGCCCGCGAGGTGGACTTAAAACTAAGTCCAGAAAAGAGAAAAATCCATTAAAACTTTCATCCCCTAATTTACCCCCTTAGAGGTCGAATTTTGTAAAATCCCGTCTTAGTGAGCACCTACGTCCTAAAAAGAACCTTTGAAAATTTGAAACTCCTAGCGCTTGTAGTAACGAAGTTTCATACAAACTTTCATCCCCTAATTTAGCCCCTTCGGGATGAAGTTTTCAAAAATCTTTGATACTCCTCTACACTACCTGAGTAATCTTCATTCCAAATTTCAACTTTCTGCGCTCATTAGTTCCGGCTGTACGATGTCTGTCAGTCAGTCGCAGTCACTTGGTAACGCAAGAATTTTATTATAGATTCCATAGTGAAGGCATGAGCCCCAGCAATGGGGAAATTAATATGCTGGTGACGATAATGCCGAACGACTGCTAGTGCAACTGGGACCAGGCTCGTCTTAAGCACAATAGGCGCCCGGGTGCAAGCAGTACTCTGGCGCACCCCCCCTCCATTACAGGGAATTTCCCCCGGTGTGGAGCCCCCCAAACCCCCGCACCATGGGTAAAGACAGGCCTGGTTGAAACAAAATGAAGCCGCCCATAGGGCGCTCGCGTTTGATACTGCGCTGGCTGGCCGCTTCTGATTCTATGCATCATGGTACAACAATGATGTCATATCATGGTACAAGAATGATATGACATCATTGTTGCACCATGATGGTCCAAGGCGATGCTCTTAGCTGCGGTGGCGGCGCCCGTGTGCACTGACACACACTGAGACTAATAGGGATGACGACTGGGTAAAAAAAATGCAATTCTATTTAGTCCGTCAGTCAGATAATAGAAAAATATTAGATACGTATTTTTTTTTACTTCAATTTAACAAGAAATAGCTTAGATAACAGGCTGAGAAGTGGGGTTGTCCTCAGTTGTATTCCATAAAAAGTTGAGGAGTGGGGGCTCGCCACGTCACAGTTGAGTAGAAAACGTACCATAACGTGACGTCATGCGAAATTTCAACTCCATGTAACGCCGTAATTTTATGATTACGAAAAAAATAAAAAAATACGTGTTTAATATTTTTTAACATTCTACCAGACGGACAAACAAAAAAAAATTAGTCATCATCCCTATTGTTGGTATTCTCACTAGACGTGGGTATTTTAACAAACACCTTTATAACCTAGGCATCTCAGACAGTCCACTGTGCAGAGCCTGCCTGGAGGAGGAGGAGACCAGCGCTCACGTACTGCTGCACTGCAGAGGAGTGACGAGACAAAGGACTGCACACCTGGGCAGCCCAAAGACACTAGGACACTTGTGATGACATCAGAAAATTACAATCCTTCTTGGATGAACTGGGTTGGCAAGACTAAAGCTTTCACTGTTTGCACGCAAAACAGGCACCAAGTGTCGAGTTGCGGAAAACATCCGTCGTCAAGAAGACGAAGAAGCCCGTGTGCATTACACACCCTGCACTATAGGTTAAGCCCCTGGCCGGGACCAACGGCTTAATGCCTTCCGAAGCCCAGATGAGCTCGACTGGAGATAATAAATGCTGCTACTGAGCAAATCTCGCAATAGCTGGCCAAAAGATGACCAAAAATTTATTATTCTGTGTACGATCTGAACAAATATCTTTCTTAATGGAAAATGCTTAAAAAATCCACTCGGTCCCTGGCACCATGAGATGGGATTCGAAACCACGACCTTTCGAAATCCGGTCTTCATTGACACCGGTATTCGATTTTCATTAAGATATATTTCAATATAGCATTGTGAATACGAAATTTATTAATTATAATTATTAAAACAAATTGTCACCTTATCTAAAGTTTAAATATTTGTAAAAAATATTTCTTTTGGCTGTTTGGGTTGATTGCCTGAACATTGACGAGAATACGCTCTGTAGTAGCGGAAAAGTAACGAGTGCTTGAAAGATTCGTCAGTCCTGTTAGGTCCCGGGTAGTTTAGTGGAAAGGTTCTAGGTTCGAATGCCATCTCGGGGTGCCAGAGACCAAGTATACATTTAAACGTTTTTCATTAAGAATATTTGTCAGTGTAACATTGTAAATCCAAAATTGATAAATTATAATAATTATAACTTTATTTATCAAAGATTTCTCTAGATACCTTCAATGTATATACTTAAAGTAGGTATAAAATAAAGACGCTGCCCGCTGTCTGTTCGCAAAGATCTTTTTAATTAAACGACGGTAATTTAATATGGTTTTCGTTAATATACAGAGGGATTCGGGAAGAAGGTATAGTGTAATACAGAACAACGCGGGAGAAGCCGCTGGCGGAAAGCTAGTAGTGTTCTAATATATTTTAAAGTTGGTATTACTATTGCTTAAATGATGATCTAATTAATAAAATTAAAGAGCAGTTTAAGAACTTAGACACCTAATGTTAAGAAGGTTAGGTTTCACTACTGTTTTTTTTTAATTTCTATTTTGTCTATTTCGCTATAGAACCTACGTTATAAAATGCACTATTAAAGTACCTACGCTATAGAAATTATAGAAATGGTTGAAGATGCCACGTGAAATGTATCTGTGGTATTAGTTATAAGTAGAGAATAAAATTAAAAAAAGAATAGAACCGACTACAAATAAAAAAAAGGAAAAAATACTTATCTCAAATGCGACTTATTTAAGATGCTATTACAAGTCGGGCGGAGGTTTTCTGTAGGTTATTAATTAAACGAGAATCGCCTGACTTCAATAGTATTTTCTTGAATAAGTCACTTTTGAGATAAGTATTTTTCACTTTTTTTAAAGTTTGAAATCGGTCCAATTTTTTAAAGTTTTTATTTCATGCTTTTAAGTGATATTGCCATTTATTTTGACATTTATTGACAAATACTATGCTGAAAACTGCATCAAAATCGGTTCAGCCAAACGCGAGATAATTGCGCACAAACATACATAATTATAGGTCAAACTGAGAACCTCTTTTTTAAGTCGGTTAATAAATATCTCGTAAGTATGCATGCAGTGTGTTATATCGATATAATAATCAAGGCTCTATATAAAATAAACAATAGCATTTAAAAGCACGAAAGAAAAACTTGACGCATAGTGCAGAAGTCTTGTATTAATAAAAAAAAAACTAAGAATGTTCTAAACAAATATTACTACTGTATATAATGATTTAATGATTTTAGTTAAAAAAAAAACTGCTTGATAGCTTTAAAAATGCAACTAAATTGTGTCAAGCAAACAGCTGCCATTATAATTTATGTTTTTCAAGATTTGTTTACATCTCAACTGTTTAAAATAACAAATTTAGATTACTATTTCATTGCATAATACGGCTAATGTACTTACATTACGAATTAGAACGCCACTTATTAATTTCACTATGTTTTTCCTTTCTCCTTATTTATGATTTGATTCCTTCGCTTTTTGTTTTTTTTTTAACTAACAAAGCGTCTGTGTGATACAAAGAATGATAATATACTGGTTATATTAAGTATCCTTGTTATGAATGAGGGAAAACGAGTTTTAAATTACCTGCTGACGAAAGCTAGTGTTACAGGTTATGTTTAAGTTCAGCTTTTTTATGAATTACCTGGTTAAAGAATTTAAATTAGAGATACGGTGAATAGTGGTTTCACCGAATAACCGAAAACCGGTTTAATCTTTACCGAACCGGTTATTCGCCCGAATTAGTGTTTCGCCGCGTAAGCAGATTTAAATACAAACGTCAATTGTTTTATTTTATCAGTTTTATTCTTATGAAATAAATAGTTTTATACCGAATTGAAAGAAGGAAGTTCTCTTTTTGAATATAGGTATGTTTGTGAGCGATTATCTCTAATTTGGCTGAACCGATTT